GATCGTGGACGCCACTGCTAGTAGGACAGTTGGGCGACTATCGTGGATCACAGTGGCACTAGTGGCAGTGGACGACTGCACCATCGTACAGGTGGCGAGCGCCCATTTTATCGTGGACGCCACTGCTAGTACGACAGTTGGGCTACTGTCGTGGATCACAGTGGCAGTGGACGACTGCACCATCGTACAGTGGGCGAGCGCCCATTTGATCGTGGACGCCACTGCTAGTACGACCGTTGGGCTACTGTCGTGGATCACAGTGGCAGTGGACGACTGCACCATCGTACAGTGGGCGAGCGCCCATTTGATCGTGGACGCCACTGCTAGTACGACAGTTGGGCTACTGTCGTGGATCACAGTGGCAGTGGACGACTGCACCATCGTACAGTGGGCGAGCGCCTATTTGATCGTGGACGCCACTGCTAGTACGACAGTTGGGCTACTGTCGTGGATCACAGTGGCAGTGGACGACTGCACCATCGTACAGTGGGCGAGCGCCCATTTTATCGTGGACGCCACTGCTAGTACGACAGTTGGGCTACTGTCGTGAATCACAGTGGCAGTGGACGACTGCACCATCGTACAGTGGGCGAGCGCCTATTTGATCGTGGACGCCACTGCTAGTACGACAGTTGGGCTACTGTCGTGGATCACAGTGGCAGTGGACGACTGCACCATCGTACAGTGGGCGAGCGCCCATTTTATCGTGGACGCCACTGCTAGTACGACAGTTGGGCTACTGTCGTGGATCACAGTGGCAGTGGACGACTGCACCATCGTACAGTGGGCGAGCGCCCATTTGATCGTGGACGCCACTGCTAGTACGACCGTTGGGCTACTGTCGTGGATCACAGTGGCAGTGGACGACTGCACCATCGTACAGGTGGCGAGCGCCCATTTGATCGTGGACGCCACTGCTAGTACGACAGTTGGGCTACTGTCGTGGATCACAGTGGCAGTGGACGACTGCACCATCGTACAGTGGGCGAGCGCCTATTTGATCGTGGACGCCACTGCTAGTACGACCGTTGGGCTACTGTCGTGGATCACAGTGGCAGTGGACGACTGCACCATCGTACAGTGGGCGAGCGCCCATTTGATCGTGGACGCCACTGCTAGTACGACCGTTGGGCTACTGTCGTGGATCACAGTGGCAGTGGACGACTGCACCATCGTACAGCGGGCGAGCGCTCATGAGATCCAATGGTTCACTATTGGAATGTTGTTGATCCGACACATTGTCGTACGACCGAAATCGTATAGTGGGCGAGGGGTCTAAAAAACCACTTACCGGGCTCGTACTATGACAGTCCAAACTCTGCTTTGTGGAATGAATTTAAACCCAAATATGCAATTAAAATATTGGTTGTGACTGGGGCTTGAGCTACTGTATAGGGATAGACTATCTTAAAGAATACATTTAAAAACCTCCAGCCATAAGTTTTAATTTAGCACACAATAACTTGTTATTAAAAAAAAAAAATTGTTTACCAGTACATAAGGGATTGCTACTGCAAAGAAGAACTAAGCTGCATCGATGCAAAATTTAAGATATGGAACAGAAAACAAACGTAACTCTGATCCGCTAACTGCGCCGCACGGAGTTCACCAGAGACCGTAGTTAAAATCTAAAGTACAACAATTGGTTTACCGTTGTATAGGCAATAGCAGATGGAAATAAATTATTCCGCTGTCGATGCAAATTACGCAAACCATAAGATTAACTATATGATGATTAGATGACGAGGGGGCAGAGCAGAGGTCACAAGGCCTCATTAACTACAGTGACAAGCCACTGTTCAGTGTTCACTGTGTACTGTGTGGCGACAACACAACACAATACACACATTCTGACCCTCATTACGACCTCAAGTCACTGGTCCTAGCGTATCTATCAAAGGAAGAGGTTAAATAAACAGTCAAATACACACATACACACGTATGATATGGAATGGTTTAGGCTACAAACACAACAGTTGAATCAGTTCAGTAAAATGTCACACTAGAATTTGCGTTGTATTTTCAAAGGAATACAGTAATAGATTATTTCCCTGGAAGCAACACATTTCGTTGGACGCATTGAGAAGATTATCAATGATTATCAACCACGTAACAATGAAGTTATGCAAATACTGTAACACGACTTTACTTGTATCCCAGATCGGCAACGAAGCGCTAGGCGCAGGCCTACCTAATTATCCGGTATGGACAGTGAACATCATGTAACGCAACACGATGTAATGTGGGTTTACGCAACTCCTGGCCACGGACAGTGAACACATGCAGCAGCAGCAGCCATCTCTGACACTAATGGCACGGTCGAACTGCGCAGGTGATAGCAGGATTTATTTGGATTCCGGAGCTTAGCTTGGATTGCGCAAGTAGGTAATACTAGCTGTACCCGCGGGCTTCGCCCCGTTTAACTTCATAAGTATTCGCATGGCTCATTCACGTCCTGGTTGAAGTTCGTTCGCTACGCTCACTCACCTTTAGGTTGGAGCTCGTTCGCTGCGCTCACTTGCCTTCAGGTTAGCTCGTTCGCTACGCTAACTCACCTCCAGGTTGAAGTTCGTTCGCTACGCTCACTCACCTTTTGGTTGGAAATTAGCTGTTGTCATAAATTAAGAAAAAAATAATAGTGCTGCACCCTGTTGGTAATCCTTGTAACTTTTATGCTATTGAACATCATAGAACAGAACCAACTTGTTTAATTGAAACAGCTGTTAAGATTCATTAATTACTTTTAAATATGAAAAATCATAAGATTAACATGGGGAACTACAGAGCCACTGGGGCGGAGCCCGAAAGGGTTTTTGAGATAAGAATATGCTTTAATGTTAATCGGGAATGTAAGCTATCATCATGCCAAATTTCAGCCCAATCCGTCCAGTAGTTTATGCGTGATTGAGCAACACACACACAAACACACACACAAACATACACACAAACATACACACAAACTCACAAACTTTCAGATTTATAATATTAGTAAGATATGCAATGTTGAACGGTTGATCACCTTTTGGTGTAGGCTTTTTTATTACCACCAAACCCTGCATAATTAAGCAAAAAACAGTTTAGCAACACGTGGACAGTATGATATAAAGTTGTACAGTAGTTGTATAAAAGTTGGAAAAATAACACTGTTTTGGGTGTGATTAAATATCTCAGGATCTATTTATTTAGCAGAAAATACTTCATATGCAAAAATAAACTACACACAATTCTAAACGAGATGGTCCTCTCAAAATCTTGTTAAAGTAAATGGTTACAGAGTTACAAAGGCTTAAAAATTGAATTTTGTTACAGTTTTTAACGCTTTAAAAGTTCAGGAGGCAGCTAAATATTAAATATAAATTAATATATTAATATAGCATAGTTTGATTTTGTACGTCAAAATAAAGGTCTTTGTTAGTAAAATACAAAGCCGCAAACCCGAACTTAAACGTTGAAAGATTTCTTGGAGTTGCAATGCTACACACGTGAACTCAAACGGACAACTAAGTCAAAAATGGGAGCCATTAAAAAATGTCTTGAACTTATAAGATTGAATCCTTGAACAGCTCCCATTTTTGACTCAGTTGTCCGTTTGAGTTCAGGAGTGTGGCATTGTAATCCTCTAATACAGACCTTTAATTCGATATGCATATCAAGCCATGCCAACATTTATGATTTTCTTATAACTTCTAAAGGGCGCCCCAAAATAGCAACTCCAAGAAATCTTCCAGAGACTGCAATTTTTTACTCGTATGTTAGTTTAAGTTCAAGTTAAGTTTAAGTTAAGTCGTGTTTTTTAATATTTTGCAACTCTCTAACCATTAACTCATCAAAATTATGAAAATGACCATTCTTGTTTAAAATTTGAAGTAGATAATTTTCGTATATGATGTATTTTGTGCTAAAATGTATAGTTTCGGTGGATAACTTGAGAGTCAAAAGTGTGCTTTCACTTTGGATGTCCAGGTTAAGCCCTTTTTTGGCTAATTCATATAAAGAAAATAGTATATTATGTGGCATTTATGTGTTGGAAAACATTGAATTTTCCAAACATACATACTAAAATACCCCCACCGCAGCAAACCTGCCGACTAAGCGAATTTCCGTTTGTCTGAATTGATTTTCAATTAAATATATTTGAATAGCATTATGTTTAATGAGTACCTAGGTTTGCTGCTACAAGGAAACTAATAAAGTGTGTTTTTAGTAAAGTATTCATAGCTTAGTATAAAATAAATAAATTTGCCAAGTTTGGTCAAAATATATCCATAAACCAGCAAACTTACAACATTTTAAAAGATTCTTCAAAAGAATAACATTAATTTACAATTTTTGGAATTTTCTCCGTTACCAATAACCCTACAAAAACACTTTGATAGACAAAATTATTTGTTTTTATGCTCTTTAAAAAGGCCAAAAAAGAAATTGGGAAATTCAGTGTTTTGAGGGTCAAAAATGAGAAAACCCAATTTTTACCCCATTAACCCACCAAACCCCCGTTGCCATAGTCCGATCCATCGTCCGATCATTCTGGTTCGCGAACTCATTCAAGTTATCCCACCTCAAATCTTTAAACAAAATTTCATCAAAATCGGACAAAAAATTACTCAAGTGATCGCGTTCACGGACACACAGACACATAAAAATTAAAACGAATGGTGTTTTTGTCCTCTGGGAACATCAAAATGAAAAGTAAATCGGTCCCGGGCCAAGTTCTTACCGTACCACCTACAGTAATAGCTACTAACCTATAGGGAAATTCGCTAAAAAGCTAGTTTTAAAACATTCAAAGAATCACCTTTGTAAAAAATATAGCTTTGTTTAATTTTCATGCAGATAAAACTTATGAAACTTAAAACTAGGAAAAATAAAACTGGCCAAGAGTATAATGGTGGGATATGGAATTATGCAGAAGATTTATATTCGGCTAAAATTGTGGAAATAATAAACTACTGTACTTCAAAATAATAAAACGAGTATTGTCTAGTAAGAACGTGACTAACCTTTTACGATGTTGAGCTTGATCTGTTCTTTCTCCCAAGATGCAAAGGAGGCTTTGAGGGCCTCGGTCATCTTCTTGTTGGTGCCGGGGGTGAGAGGCGGCACCTGAGTCGGGATATCTGTAACAATACAATACATACAGTACTGATGTCGAGAAGTGGTTATACTAAATCAGGGATCAAAAGAATACAACAGAACAATGTAGGCTACGATCCAACGATCGGTAGTCCTATATATTATATGATTCTTTATTCCTGCCTTGGGTAAACGAAGCTCAAGCACATTGAAAGCAGAAATTTTGTAAACAACTACCTTATCCTGAGACGTACCAAGGAATATGGCAGAACACTAAAAAAAACATAGTTTCCAATTCCATTAGATTAATTATTGGATTTCTAAATGTTATTTACCCCTGTTTAAAAAAAAAAAAACCGTATAAGCTAGAATGTTTAAACTCCGCACATCTTTGTTAGACCTAAATATCTTGTTTTCCATGGGTTCATTCTCATTGACTCTCCACCTCCAATAAAGGACGGTCCACGAGGAGTAAGCCGAGATTCTTAAATGTAAGCATAGGTTGGGATGATAATCGTTATTGTGTATAGCCTATTATTGTGAGTTCAGTCTGTAGTTCGCTGTTTATGTTACTGTTAATGTGTGTTAATGCTAATGCTGTTAATGTTCGCTGTGGTATGTTGTGTTAATGTGCTGTGGAGTTTTAACGTATAGTTGGTTCATACATTTTATCGCACTATATAGTAAACAGTGCGGCCTTCAGGGGAGTTGACCAATGACCACCTCCTACCTGGCACAATATTGCTTTTGACTGAAATTGCGATCAAACGAAGGTAGATATTTTAAGCCAAGAATTAATAGAGATCGAGTGTAGGATGAGTCCAACATAAAAAGCATATAATGTGTTTTTGAGTTACATTTAACCTTTAAAATATTGTATTGCATTGTACATAGTTCTTGAACATTGTAAACACCAAATCTATTACTTTATTCACTGAAATAAACATTACTGAAAACACTTTACTGATACAGTACTGTTAATTTTGGCACATACTGTATATACAGTATGTGCCAAAATTAACAGTACTGTATCAGTAAAGTGTTTTCAGTAATGTTTATTTCAGTGAATAAAGTAATAGATTTGGTGTTTACAATGTTCAAGAACTATGTACAATGCAATACAATATTTTAAAGGTTAAATGTAACTCAAAAACACATTATATGCTTTTTATGTTGGACTCATCCTACACTCGATCTCTATTAATTCTTGGTTAATTGATTAATTAAAATTAATCCTATTTTAATAAGGCAAATTACCTAAAATTGGGGGGGGGGTCAATCCCCCTTCTGGGATCGCCACCGGTATTAATTTTCTCTGACTTGATAAGTAGTCAAAGGAGCTTTATTTTGTTCTTGTATTTGTAGAAACACAAAATGTATTTGTGCTTCATAAACACACAATTTTAGTGACAATAGAAACCATTGATTATACTGGCCTGTGGAAAGAACATTGATACATTTACGTTTTGTTTTGACTGAATACGATCTGTGATAGCTCATTTTCTAGCAAGTCAAGGCCTAGATGTCAACAAATGCTAGGAGTGTATGTGTGTGCGTGTGTGTGTGTGTGTGTGTGTGTGTGTGTGTGTGTGTGTGTAGGCAGGCCGGAAGTGACCAATCACAGAGCCGAGACCCCTCTCCCGCGAGCGTTCATTGGATAATCTCTGGCCTGATAACGCGCTCTCACCAGTTCAGCCCTGCAGTTGCTACATACTCATATATAAAACTGTACTGACTGTACACGACTGATGTGTACTGAGTTATATAACCGTGGCCAGTGTTAGCTTTAAATGCTTGGAATTTTTCAACTAGTAAATTCACCTTAATTGCTTCACTTACAAGGGTGTAAAACAATTTTATAATCATAATTATACATTTTAGGTACAGTAAACTATAATTACACATTTTACACAATATTTAATACGATGTATAATAGTTCAAAGTGTTTTTAGTAGTCTGTATTTAGTCTAATTTTTATGCCTTCCGAATAGTTTTATTGTTGTTGGTCAATAAATACAGACGGAATTTTTGTCACAAACAAATTTCAAAATACTTCCAAACAAATTTCTAAAACCAACATGACAATGGCAGATTAAAATAAAACAGATTTTTATTACTCATTTTTGTATCAGGGTTTCAACATATTTGTTCAAGTTTCATCGTAGGTATATAAATTTTATAAAAAAAAACGAGAAAATATTTTGGACATCGTAAACTGTACACATTCAAGTTAGTCTGACCTAGTTTCCAACAACGAAAAATAACTACGCTATTAGAAAACTTGAACAATTTCAAAAAATATAATTATTTAATTGAAACTTAAAATAAATTCCGTGATATAGTTAATCAACAAGATCATAAAACTAAATTATCAGATTATTATAAATTTGTAAACGCTGTACAGTATTATATTTTCAAAAGTCTTATATTGTAAAAAAAATGTATATATTTAATCCGCTCAATAATTAATTGATATACAATGACGTTTGTGCTGTTGTGACAGATTTTACAGTCAAAAAGTGTACAAATGATACATTTGCAAGTACAGTGACCAAACCTCAGCTACCTAAGTGATGTGTTACTTAGTTTATACCACTTCATTACTGTACTATACAGCATTTTGTTTTCAGGTGTACGCTGTAGAGCCAGTGAGGGCTGGACGTGGACGTGGACGTGGCGTCAACGTGATTCAATCAGTACAATTACAGGACAATGAGGCCCAACAAAGGACCCATCTGACTCATATGGGTGGTCGTCGCGTCACCAATCACAAGTATCACGCCAAAAATCACTCCACACAGACCTTGACGTTAACTACAATGTCATTCGCTGTAATTGCATTCTTTAACTTCGAAACGAGCAAATTATTTCTTCACCGTTTGACGAGGCCAGTCGCCGAACTTTACCGATGACTCAAGGTGCACTTGGTCATTTTGTACGGGTAAAAACTGATGGCTGGAGAAAACCCCAAAACTGGCGAGTTGTTCGAGTGAAGTGATTAAAGATGGCTGCCGGGTATTCGGCATGCAAGGTCTGTGGTGTCCGTGTCGCGTGTCGTACATACAAACAACGACACACGTGGCTACTGTACGAACAGAGTCTGGCGTCTCTGCCCACTGTCGAACAGTAGAAATGTTTATGTCATTGTAATGTATGAAAAATCACCCTAAACAAAGTTATTTCAGTGCGTGCAAACTTTAATTACAATACATAGAATCGAAATGCAGCTGTGGAACCCGATTTCTTAAAATTGGGACTATACTAGTACAGCTGAAAACCACAGTGTGTCTTTAACACCCTATGTCTAACTCATATTTCAAAGGCGACATGACATTATAAGGTTGAAATTGATGTACAGTTCGACATTATGCTACATTTAGTGAAACAGACATAGAACTGGGTTAGCACCATTCACTTGTTAAATTAGTACACGACTTCATTCCTAACTCAACCAAATGGCTAATAATTTTCTAATCTTATTTCAAAATAGTTAATTTTTAAAGATTATGCTATTATATCAATGAAGATAAAATAGATTGTATTTATATAATATTATTTTAACAAGAATTCCCCAAGCCCAATTCTGTATGGTATTTTCCAAAAATGGGTCATATCATCCACTAATCCTCATTAACTTAATACACAAGTAATGCAATTCGATAACTATCCAAAAACAATGCATGCTCGTTTTCCAACGCCAAAGTCGAATTCAAATCTTAAACTTTACAAGGTTTTACCAAAACACAAAAAGGGTAAATTACACTGTGCTTCAATTACATTGCGTAAGAAATTAACAATATCAGATGATCTTACAGTTTTGAATAGTCACTATTCCATAAACATTTTACATGAGAACATCGGGTGTAAATTTCTACCCATTTAGTTTGAAATAATTGCCATTAGTGGATAAACTTAAATGTCCATAGCCTGATACAAAGCAAAACACGCATTTAGTTCATTTGGTAGGTGATACCTTGGGAGGCCGAAATTCTGCATTACCTTAATCATTAGTAATAAATGAATTAAATCAACAATATTGAGCTTCCGAACACAATTATGTACAGCCTTTTCATAGATGGAATAAAATTTTATTAATTCGTAAGACCTGACAATTTTTACTTACTGAACAAAAACATTTTAAATTTGACTTTTTTAGTACATAATAATTCATATAAGGCGAAAATAAAAACATAATGAATAGTTTTACCTAAAGCGTAGGCTATTTTTTATTATTATCATAGTTGAAATGTTGCATTTAATGCACTTAAATGATCATTAATACATAGCCAATAATGCAATGGCTGATAACAGATGTTTCGCCTCTCCAAGATGGCGGAGGTTGCGATGACCAGTAACTGTCGTGACACGCTGTAGGCCTCTATCTCCAGCTCCGGTTACACTGACATTATGCCTGTCTGTACTGCACCCCTGGGACCACCTTGCTAGTATAGACCTGCGACATACCCTAGCCCTAGCCTACCAATCCCCCCCCCCCCCACAATCTCGCATATGGCCAAAGAGGGCTTGAAAAGATAAAAAAAAACCTGTATTACGAGAAGTTGGTTGCGAATAGAAATACTAATACCCCAGCCGCAACAAACCTACAGACTAAACTAATTTCCATTTGCCTTATTTGATTTTCAATTATATCTATTTCGATAACATTAGGTTTAACGAGTATCTAGGTTTGCTGCTACAAATCAAATCAAAATATCTTCATTAATATAAGACAAGTAGGCTACATGTTAGTACGTCTGAATAGTGTCAACTTAGCTATTTAAATTAAATTTTGCTGATTTATTCTTTTACTCTTCTATTGAATATAACACTTTGCAAACCAATTAAGTTTTTAGTTTTAGTTTGGAACTGTTTTTTGACACTTAAATTATTTTGGTAATTTTCTGAAATAACTTGCTCCTTTGTAAGACGGCTTCTTTGTGTAATTCAAGTCTATGGTGAGTGGGTATGATTTTATTCTTTTTCCGTCTGTTGTAATGGTGTATTTCTTGTTGTAAAATTGTATCCTTTTTATTGTTTAAAAATA